AATGTGATAGTGTGGTGGGCAATCTGACGCTATCTGAGAGGGTCGCTAACTGACACTGACTCTATCTGAAGTCGCACATGACACTAATGCAATGATCAGTAGAAAAATAATCTGTACATTGTACTAATGACACTGGGGGGCACAGGGGGTAAAATGTACCTACCTGTGATTTTACTGTGATAGTGTAATGCATATCTGTTCTCTTCTCTTACTGGAACTGAAAAGGACAACAGGGGAGAAGATTGCATCATTTCCTGTGCCTGTGTTCTGTAAACACAGGTACAGAATGATCTCTGATTTGGTACAACCAATCAGCAGGTCCAGGCCAAAAATCATTGGCCTGAATCTGATTGGTACTGTACTGAAGCACAGCACTGCTGGGCTGGCGGATGCACGCCCCCGACCCGGGAACACGGCGGGAGCGCGGATCATGTGTGCGGATCAATACGTGATTTTGTGCAAGGAGGCTGCGCTGTAGCAGTAGAGCTACAAAAGGCGGTCACCATCTGTTTAACAGAATTTTCCATGAAAAAATATCACCCAAGTACTACAGAGCCTGTTGTGGTGATTAGGTGACATGATATTCTATTCTGCTTAAATGATATCTGAAGCCAGCCATAGGCAAACTGAAATTCAGACGGTTCAGCAGGAACAGGAGCATCTATGGGCAGACTGGTTTTACTGAAGTCAATCTATTGATCAACTTCAGTACACCAGCCTGTCAGGGTTTTTTCATACGCAAGCAGGAGTGATCATTGGATTTTTATTGGTGAAACTTCCTACTGTCAGAATACAAAAGCGCAGTGGGAGGGATTCCCCCATCAACATTGACTGTATTAATGGCCTTCCTATTTAAAAAATCCACCAGTTATCAGCACAATAGGTTTTCAAAGTACAGCTTGTAGAATATGATTGAATATAGAAAATTGCAATGGAGAATCACTGAAAGTACCATAAAATAAAGCCATTAAAAAACACCCCTTTTAAAATATCCTGTAGGATTCAATCTAAAGCTGGACATACACACTACAAATTTCAACCCTTTTGTGATAAACCGAAATTCACTTAGTGGTTGGCCCAGTTGGCCACCTTTTCCTGACATCCTTCAATTATAAAAATTGCTGGAGCTGACAGAAGTATTTGACAGAACTGCAGCTGAATCCATTTGATATTTTGACAGCTGCAGGGGCTAGTTGTCAAAATACAGTAGAATTAGTGGGTGATTCTTCCATCCACTCTGAATCTGTAAGCCCGTAGGCTAAACGCAAAAAATGTGTGTAAGGCCAGCATTAATTTCAACCAATGAGATCAAGACCTTTTTAAATTGCCAAATACAGCTGAAATGCAGATTGCAAATACCCATGGACACAAGCTTTAGAAGATTCCAATGACCCAATGCTGGCTATAACCACATTATTTTTTTACACATGCAGATTAGTGCACAGGCTTGTTCTCTTGTAATGTGCAAATAGTTAAATTCTTCTAGACACCCTTGATGCCAACTTTATCTCAGGGATACAGTAGCAGTCCATCAGGAAAATTCAACCTAGCGCTTGGGCTGGCCATGTCAGACCACATTTATGTATCAGTAGACATAGATGAAGCATCTATGCTGTAGACCCCTCCTGTATTGGCTTATCATGAAGCAAACAATAAAGCAGGTCATACATGTAAAGATTCTCTTATCCACACCCAAACTGAGTTAATGGACGAATATCCTGCTACTGGCTATTGCATTTTGACAGCCAGCACCTGTGGCTGTCAGAATTCCCAAACAGTGACAGTCACTGTTCGGCCATCTTATTTTTCCAGCCTCTCACTTTTGACTTCTGATTGTTGAGCAAGGTGGTGTTGGAAGGGCCATCTGCAGTTCAAATGTTGACCAACTCACAGGAATCACTTAAAATCGACCCATGTCAACTTTACGATCAAGCTAGGTTTTCTAATCTTTCGTTAGTCCCTCAGATGAGCCCTGATCTACAGGTAGTTCATAGACATAGACTGTACCAGCCTAAAAAGATTGAGAACCTGAAATCTGTTGTATATGGACATGGCTAGACTCCAAAACCGACCAGCCACCAGTGTCTGCAGAGACATGAATATGCTTAGAGATAAGACAAACAACCCACAGATTGGAATCCAACAACAAACATCTATGCATACAAGAGGCAAATGTATTCAAGCCATGTGTGGCCAGCCTAAGTATCAGCCTAGGTTTTCTAATATTCCTGTTCATTATTGTTTCAGATGAGCCTTGGTCTATAGGCTGGTCCATTGTCTGTATCAGCCTAAAAAGATCAGGAACCTGTAATCTATTGTCTATGAGCACTTCAAGACTCTTCTCAAAGACTGACCAGCCACCAGTGTCTGCAGGTGGCTTGTTGACAGTCAACAAGTTAGAATCAGAGAAGAAGCATCCATAACTGTGCTGAACAGCTGATATAAAGTGAAATAATATTTTGTTTTTCCAGGCAAGGTTTTCATCATGCTCTGGCACCAAGGTTCTGTATGGTGATTGTGCTGACCTGGGTCACCTCAGTAAAAGACTAAATGAATAATGTCATGTTCTTGTTTATGTAAGTCATGGTATAATGGGAAGAATCTGTTCTTTTACATTTTGTCTCCAAACACATACGAGTCAAACCCAAATATAAAGCTTGCAATGAACATTTGTGTTGAAGTGCCACCAATCAAAACTTTTAATCCTAATCGTACAGTACAGGACATGAGATGTGTAGTCATAGATAGATCAGGTGGTTGGATGCTGGCAAACGTCTTGCTGGCATTGTCCCCCAGTGCACTCCATGGTACTCCAGTTTTGTGGTAGTGTCCTTAGGTGATGAACGTCTTCTACTCTGGAGAAGTTTTTTATACCAGTTATTTCTATTTTTCTTCTCAAAATTTTACCAATAAATTACTAAGCCTCTGCTGATGCAAGCTTCAGCCACAAGGTATTTCAAGCTGTTATCTGAGAATTGTAGGTCTGTTGTTTTCCTTGTGGGCCTGTTTGTTGCTGTTTTCTATATTGTTCCCCACCCCTCAGTTTATTGCTTGGGAATGTCCCATAGTCTATGACTACACATCCTGTATTTTACGATTAAGATAATGGGAATTTTGAAATACCTGTAATTTACTTAACTTGGAGTACAGTACAGGACACACACAGGTCCCTCACCTCTGTTTTCTGTTTCTCTTTATTGCTTGCTACAAAACTGGAGTCCCAATGAGTGGGTGAGGTTATACAAGGGTGCATCTAGCAAGGCTTTTGCAATTGTCCAGTCACTCAAATGTTTCGGCATATTATCTACAGGGAGAACAAGAGTGTCACACAGGAAAGTTGGAGTGTGAACGTCTTTACTCCATCTATGTCTTTAACAGTAAGGCCATGTTCACACCATACGTGCAGAAAAACTGATGGAAACTACGTGCAGATTTCACTTGCAGAGACACCATTTTACATCAGTTTTCGCACACACTTCAATTAGTTTTATACACGTTACAGATTCCTGCGCAAATTAATTTTGTTGTTCCCTTGTAGAACACGTGCAGAAAAACTGATGTCTCAGCACACTGGTGTGAACAAAGCCAAAATGATTTCAGCAAAATCTGTATGTACACCCAACTCACTTTGGGGGTACAAGAATAGCCCCTTCATTGGGGTTTGAAATGTGAGTGTAGAGCCAATTGGACCTGAATAATGGAGGAGTTTTGAAATGTATGTGAAACTGTTACTAAAGGCAGATTTTTTTTTTTTTTTTTATTAAAATAACAAACATGTTATACTCACCTGCTCTGTGCAGTGGTATTGCAAGAGTGGTCCCGATCTTCCTCTTCTCGGGTTCCATGCCAGTGATCCTTGCTCCTCCTCCTTTTTGTGTGTTCCCATAGCAAGCTGTTTGCTATGGAGACGCATACTGCATGCTCGGTCCCGACCTGTGTGTCTGCTGAACTCCATAGACACACACAGCAGGACTTAGCCTCGCCTCCCCACTTCCTCTTCACAGCATTTGATTGATAGCAGCAATGGCTCCTGTTGCTGTTAGAGTCCTTGTGTGAAGAGGAAGCCAGGGGAGAAGAGATGCAGCCGCGCACAGTGCTGATCTCTTCCCCTTCACACAGGGATGGGAGAGCATGGGGAAACTAAAAATGTTTTTTTGTTGTTTTTTTATTACTTAATGCAAGCAATGCATTAAGGTAAAAACATTTTAAGTTTAGTATCACTTTAACAGGCACACTGTGGTTGTTACAGGGCTACATCAACACAGTTTTTTTTTTGTTAGCCAGAGTGCAGCTTTTTTGATGATCTCCATACTGCATATGCAACTAAATAAAGGGTTGAACTGCCCACCGCTATCACATGGTACCTGGGCCAATCAAAGCACCCTGTACCATGTGATTAGCTGTAGCCAATCACAGATCACTAGTATTCTAAATTGTCATGAACTTAACCCATTCAGTTCAAGGCATTTGCTAATTCAATCAAGTTAAAAAAAAAATCCCTGGGCACCCCCCAGAGTAGTACAATGTTACTATACTAAAAAAAATATAGTAACAAAATAAAAAATATTGTTTTAAAAATTAAAAAAATTTAAAATATTCAATAAAACATTTATTGAATATTTAAAATATTCAATAAAACATTTATTATTTTTTTTTTATTTTATTTTTTTGTTGTTACCAATCAGTGTCCTTGATCACTGCCACACCGGTGATATCATGACACTATACTGCGTTGGTGATATTATGTAAAAAAAATGTGAAAAAAACCTTTTATTTAATTTCTTCATTTTCCAAATAATTGTGACAAAAATGTACAACTTCAAAAAACTTGACATGCCTCTTACTAAATACCTCAGACTGTCTACTTTCCAAAAAGGGGTAATTTGGGGGATATTTGTACTGTCCTGACATTTTAAGGGCCTCAAGAAATTAAATAGGTCGCCAGTATATCAGGATTGATCAATTTTCAAATACACTATATTGCCAAAAGTATTGGGACACCCCTCCACCTCATTGGATTCAGGTGTTCCAATCAACTCCATGGCCACAGGTGTATAAAATAAAGTACCTAGGCATGCAGACTGCTTCTACAAACATTTGTGAAAGAATGGGTCGCTCTCAGAAGCTCAATGAATTCAAGCGTGGTATCATGATAGGTTGCCACCTTTGCAATAAGTCCATCTAGGAAATTTCCTGCTACTAAATATTCCACCCTCAACTGTTAGTGGTATTATAACAAAGTGGAATCAACTGGGAACAACAGCAATTTGGCCATGAAGTGGTAGGCCTCATAAAATGACAGAGCAGGATCAGCGCATGCTGAAGCGCACAGTGCGAAGAAGTGCATAGAGAGTTTAATGGAATGGGTTTCCATGGTCGAGCAGCTGCATCCAAGCCTTACATCACCAAGTGCAATGCAAAGCGGCAGATGAAGTGGTGTAAAGCATGCTGCCACTGGACTCTAGAGCAGTGGAGACGTGTTCTCTGGAGTGATGACTCGCGCTTCTCTGTCTGGCAATCCGATGGACGTGTCTGGGTTTGGCGGTTGCCAGGAGAACAATACTTGCCTGACTGCATTGTGCCAAGTGTAAAGTTTGGTGAAGGGGGATTATGGTGTGGAGTTGTTTTTTAGGGATTGGGCTTGGCCCCTTAGTTCCAGTGAAGGGAACCGTTAAGGCGTCAGCATACCAAGATGTTTTTCAACAATTTCAAGCTCCCAACTTTGTGGGAACAGTTTGGGGATGGCTCCTTCCTATCCCAACATGACTGTGCACCAGTGCACAAACCAAGGTCCATAAAGACATGGATACGTGAGTTTGGGGTGGAGAAACTTGACTGTCCTGCACAGAGTCCTGACCTTAACCTGATAGAACATCTTTTGGATGAATTAGAGCGGAGACTGTGAGCCAGGCCTTCTCATCCGATATCAGTGCCTGACCTCACAAATGAGCTTCTGGAAGAATCGTCAAACATTCCCATAGGCACACACCTAAACCTTGTGGACAGCCCTTCCGGAAGAGTTGAAGCTGCTATAGCTGCAAAGGGTGGGCCAACTCAATATTAAACCCTACAGGCTAAGACTGACATGCCATTAAAGTTCATGTGTGTGGAAAGGCAGGCATCCCAATACTTTTGGCAATAAAATGTATATATGAAATCCCAATCATTAAAAAATCCCGTGGCAAACTGAGCCTGATGTGGGAGCGGGTACTTGTCAAAACCAGGTACCCGCTCCCCCCCCTCCCCCCAAAAGGTGCCAAATATGACAGTGGAGGGGGGAGGAGGCAAATAAGCGGAGTGAAACTCTGCTTTAAGTTTGATTTCTAAGGACTACATATCCCATGGTCCCTTGCTGTCTGCAAGCATGAGTCCTGTACTGACTCCGCCTTCTGAAACTCTTCCTCTCATCACCTCCATAGTATAGAAGACTGGCTCTGCAAAATGTTGCTGGTTTTCCAGCATGCCTGTTTGACAGGAGCCGGCAGACTGCGCAAAATCATGTATAAATACGTGATTTCGCATTTCCAGGTAGGGGTGCGCGTGCAACCTAACCGTGCCGCCATTGGCTGCTTCAGCTGTCGATCACTGGGTCCCAGTCGGTGATTCCCCGCTGGCACCCGGTGATCGCCGAGAATATCACTGATAGGGGAGAGGTCTGTATGTAAACAATACAGATCTCTTCCCTGTCAGCTCCAACACACTGCTTTGAGCACACACAATAGTAAAACAGCACACAGTTAACCCTTTGATCACCCCTTCCTGTGTCATTAGTACAGTGTCAGTGCTTTTTATTACGCACTGATCACTGTATTCGTGTCACTGGGGATGTCAGTGACAGTTAGTCAGTTCCCCCCCCCCCCCAGGGTTAGAATGCCTGCTGCAGTCTCGCAGTTCCGCTATAATTTGCTGATTGCTGGCATTACTAGTATAAAAGAAAAAAATTCCAGTATGTGTGTGTATATGTGTGTGTGTATATATATATATGTGTGTATATATATATATATATATATATATATATATATATATATATATACCGCCATTTGTAGACATTATAACTGTCACGTAAACCAATTAATTTACTCGTATTGGGATTTTTTTTAGCAAAGACATGTCGCAGAATACATTTTGGCCTACATTTATGGTGAAATTAGATTTTTTTTTATTTTTTTATACTGGACGTGTTTAATAGCAAAAAGTCAAAAATATATATTTTTTATTTTTTTTTTTTGTTTATAGCGCAAAAAATAAAAACCGTAGAGTTGATCAAATACCACCAAAAGAAAGCTCCATTTGTGAGAAAAAAAAGGACATCAATTTCATTTGGGCACAGTGTTGCATGACCACGCAATTGTCAGTTAAAGTAATGCAGCGCCATATCGCAAAAAATGGCCTGGTCAGGAAGGGGGGGGGGGGGGGGGTAAATCCTCTGGAGGGCAAGTGGTTAAGAGTGTTTTAACCCTAGGCTTGCCATGAATTATTTATTTTTTTTTTTTTAATAAACCAGGAAAAAAATGGGAGTGGGTCGTTACCACTGAGTTATTCTGTATTCTGACAGTAGGGAGACTTCGCTGCTGTCAGAATACACTGATCAGTGCTGCTGGCTATAGTCGGCTGTACTGATTGTACGGAAAAAACCTGGCAGGCTGGTTGCACAGAAGTCTGTCGGTAGATCCAACCTAATGAACCAGATGAATTTATATCTATATATGGCCACCTTTAACCAGGACCTGTCCGATACGACTATTTTCTATGGCCTTCTATCACCTAGTGTTGCTGTTTGAGTATTCTGATAGCTGTTGGCGCTGGCTGTCATAATACAATAGCCACGCTGTATTGTGTGTATGGAGAAATCTGTGGAATTGTTTTCATTCTGCTTGCAAAATCTATAGCGTTTGTTTACTAAAACTGGAGAGTGCAAAATCTGGTGCAACTCTGCATAGAAACCAATCAGCTTTCAGGTTTTATTGTCAAAGTTTAATTGAACAAGCTGGAAGATGATTGGCTACCATTCACAGCTGCACCAGATTTCGAGTGCACCAGATTTAGTAAATCTATTCCTAAGTGTACATGTCCAGCCATAAGCTGGCATACACTATACAACCTGACTGTGCATCTCTATGCAACCTGTTTTACAGTTTCCAAAACTATGTAATAGGAGGACACACTTAAACAGCCCATTCAATTTATATCAAATGAAGGCAGGCCCTTGTACTACATAGTTGATGGTGGCTCTAAAGAAGATTGTACAATTACATTGTATAGTGTATGGTCTTGTTTATTCATCAGAGGAGGATCACCAATATTTAGCCATTCAATCATTGTGCGAGCAGCTTGTGCTGATTGGCTGCAGTGGCTTTCTCTCCATATGCATTTTCAGGAGTCATTCGGGTTCCTATTTGATTCCATTTGTATGTTTACTTACCCCTTCTGACTCTATTGCTTTTAGGCTTCTGTAAATTCCCCTTATCGGCCTGTGCTGCTTTCAGCCTTGAATTTAATGAATGCCAATAGATAAAACATAAAGGGAAAGAGATGATGAATTTCCATCAGTAAACTGCATTTCTGCTCATTATTTCTGCAGATGGCACCAGGAGCGTGTGAAACCAGAAAGCATACATATATATATATATATATATATATATATATATATATATATACACAGTGAGGAACAGAAGTATTTGAACACCCCGTGATTTTGCAAGTTCTCCCACTTAGAAATCATGGAGGGGTCTGAAATTCACATTGTAGGTGCATTCCCAATCTGAGAGACAGAATTAAAAAAAAAAAAATTCAGGAAATCACATTGTATGATTTTTAAGGAGTTTATTTGTCTTACACTGCTGAACATAAGTATTTGAACACCTAAGAAACAGCAAGAATTCTGGCTCTCAAAGACCTGTTACTGTGCCTTTAAAAAGTCCACCTCTACGCCACTCATTAATCTAACTTAGTAGCACCTGTCTGAGCTCTTTAAAGACACCTGTCCACCCCACAGTCAGTCAGACGCCAACTACTACCATGGGCAAGACCAAAGAGCTGTCAAAAGACACCAGAGACAAAATTGTGGACCTCCACAAGGCTGGAAAGGGTTACGGGACAATTGCCAAGCAGCTTGGTGAAAACAGATCAACTGTTGGAGCAATTGTTAGAAAATGGAAGAGGCTAAAGACGACTGTCAGTCTCCCTCAGACTGGGGCGCCATGCAAGATCTCACCTCGTGGGGTATCACTGATGATAGAAAGGTGAGGAATCAGCCCAGAACTACAAGGGAGGAGCTGGTCCATGACATGAAGAGAGCTGGGACCACAGTTTCAAAGGTCACTGTCGGTAGAACACTACGCTGTCATGGTTTCAAATCATGCATTGCACGGAAGGTTCCCCTGCTCAAGTCATCACATGTCCAGGCCCGTCTGAAGTTTGCCAATGACCATCTGGATGATCCAGAGGAGGCATGGGAGAAAGTCATGTGGTCAGATGAGACCAAAGTAGAACTTTTTGGTCTAAACTTCACTCGTCGTGTTTGTAGGAAAAAGAAGGATGAGTTGCATCCCAAGAACTTCATCCCTACTGTGAAGCATGGAGGTGGTAACATGCTTTGGGGGTGCTTTTCTGTGAAGGGGACAGGATGACCGAACTGTATTAAGGAGAGGATGAATGGGGCCATTTATTGTGAGATTTTGAGCAACAACCTCCTTCCTTCAGTCAGAGCATTGAAGATGGGTAGTGGCTGGGTCTTCCAGCATGACAACGGCCCGAAGCACACAGCCAGGATAACCAAGGAGTGGCTCCGTAAGAAGCATATCAAGGTTTTGGAGTGGTCTAGCCAGTCTCCAGACCTAAATCCAATAGAACATCTTTGGAGAGAGCTGAAAACTCCTTGTTGCTCAGCGACAGCCCCGAAACCTGACAGATCTAGAGGAGATCTGTGTGGAAGAGTGGGCCAAAATCCCTGTTGCAGTGTGTGCAAACCTGGTCAAGAACTACAGGAAACGTTTGACCTCTGTAATTGCAAACAAAGTCTTCTGTACCAAATATTAACACTGATTTTTTCAGGTGTTCAAATACTTATGTTCAGCAGTGCAAGACAAATAAATTCTTTACAAATCATACAATGTGATTTCCTGAATTTTTTTTTTAATTCTGTCTCTCACAGTGGGAATGCGCCTACAATGTGAATTTCAGACCCCTCCATGATTTCTAAGTGGGAGAACTTGCAAAATCGCAGGGTGTTCAAATACTTCAGTTCCTCACTGTATATATAATTACCCTCTAGTGCACTACTAGGATAGTCTGGTATGTTAGGTAAAATCATTGTTTATGACTCACGGTAGTTGAATCATGTGATTAAGGCCGGGTTATTGTAGGTCAGCTGGATGACTGTTGTGGCTCTATCGCCTCCTGAACCTTCTGCAAGTCAGTAAAAAGGAATGGAGGGAGGCCTAATCTGCATATTCATGGAAGTCCGACCAATACCAGGTTTGGAGGCTCTGTTGGAGTGGTGGATTGGTGTGTGTGTATATATGTGTGTATATATATATATATACAGTATATATATGGGAGAGTCAGGTTGACAAGGGGGTCGGGTGGAAGATAGAGTTCTGAGGAGACTGTTGGTGCCTAGGAGGGGTCTCCTAGGTCTGGGGGGGGCAGCCTTTAGGCTCGGTTAGGGCTGGCACAGGAGGATACAATTGAGAGGCGCAAATGGGATCAAGGCCTGGAACTGTAGGGAGTGCAGAGGACAGTATGAGTACAGAAGCACACTCTGGGATCTAAAAGGGGAAAGACTACCACACATAACAAGTTTTATAAGGACAGCATTGACCTCAATCCTTTATCCTTGCCCCGGAAGATCTTCCAAGAAGCCAGGAGTGCTGGTAGTGCTTGCAGGCTGTGAAGCTGGGAACAGCTCTATAAGGGGAGAGGTGACGTCTCTGCATGGAGCTACAAGAAGTGAAGTGATTTATGAGGCGCTGCTAGTTCCTTGCCCGTAAAGGGCAGCTGCTACTGATCTGAAATGACTGAGGCCTTTCAGAAAAAGAATAGTCCAGGATCTGCTTTTGTACATAGGAAGGAAATGTCCCCCTTCCATTGACTGAAGCCAAGCTGGGCATCCCATAATCCCTATTTCCCTATCCACGTTGAATTTCCCTAATAAAACAACAAAACCAAGCCCATGCACTGGTCACTGTCTGTGTGAGAAATACCTGTTGCTTGGCTGTGCGGATGGAAGATTAGGGGTACCCACAACACAGCAGCCCTTACGAGGGTATATATATATATATATATATATATATATATATATATATATATACACAGTATATTGCCAAAAGTATTGGGACACCCGTCCAAATTATTGGATTCGGATGTTCCAATCACCTCCATGGCCACAGGTGTATAAAATCAAGCACCTAGGCATGCAGACTTCTACAAACATTTGTGAAAGAATAGGTTGCTCTTAGGAGCTCAGTGAATTCAATGCTTGGTACCGTGATAGGTTGCCACCTGTGCAATAAGTCCATCCGTGAAATTTCCTTGCTACTAAATATTCCACGGTCAACTGTTAGTGGTCTTATAACAAAATGGAAGCAACTGGGAGCAACAGCAACTCTGCCACGAAGTTGTAAGACCCGTAAAATGACAGAGTGGGGTCATTGCATGCTGAAGCACACAGTGCACAGAAGTCGTCAATTGTCTGCAGAGTCAATAGCTAAAGACCTCCAAACTTCATGTGGCCTTCAGATTAGCACAATAACAGTGCATAGAGAGCGTCATGGAATGGGTTTCCATCTCTGAGCAGCTGCATCCAAGCCTTACATCAACATGCGCAAGGCAAAGCATCGGATGCAGTGGTGTAAAGCATGCTGCCACTGGACTCTAGAGCAGTGGAGACATGTTCTCTGGATTGATGACTCATGCTTCCCTGTCTAGCAATCCGATGGACGTGTCTGGGTTTGGTGGTTGCCAGGAGAACAGTACTTGCCTGACTGCATTGTGCCAAGTGTAAAGTTTGGTGGAGGGGGGATTATGGTGTGGGGTTGTTTTTCAGGGGTTAGGCTTGGCGCCTTAGTTCCAGTGAAGGGAACTCTTAAGGCATCAGCACACCAAGACATTTTGGACAATTTCAGGCCCCCAACTTTCAACAGTTTGGGGATGACCCCTTCCTGTTCCAACAGGACTGTGTACCAGCGCACAAAGCAAGGTCCATAACGACATGGATGAGCGAGTTTGGGGTGGAGGAACTTGACTGGCCTGCACCTTGAGTCCTGACCTCAACCCGATAGAACACCTTTGGGATGAATTAGAGTGGAGACTGCAGTTCAGGCCTTCTTGTCTGACATCAGCGCCTTACCTTACAAATGTGCTGGAAGAATGGTCAAACGTTCCCATAGACACACTCCTAAACCTTGTGGACAGCTTTTCCAGAAGAGCGGAAGCTGTTATAGCTGCAAAGGGTGGGCCAACTCATTATTGAACCCTACAGACTAAGACTGGGATGCCATTAAAGTTCATGTGCGTGTAAAGGCAGGAGTCCCAATAGTGTGTGTATGTGTCTATGTATACACAGTTGTGTTCAAAATAATAGCAGTGTGTTGAAAAAAGTGAATAAAGCTCAAAATCCTTCTAATAGCTTTTATTTCCATACACACAAATGCATTGGGAACACTACACATTCTATTCCACATCAAAACATGAAGAAAAATATATCAAATTTGTGTTGTTCCTCTAAAAAAATTGAAGAAAAGTGAATATTAGACTGTTAAAAAAAAAAAAATAGCAGTGTTTGTATTCTTCTTTACAAACTCAAACATTCACTATATAAACTGAAAAATGTTTGAAGATTTTGCTTTCCTTTGAATCACTTAATATTTAGTTGTATAAGCACTGTTTCTGAGAACTGCTGTACATCTGTGTTGCATGGAGTCAACCAACTTCTGGCACCTGTATTCCAGCCCAGGATGATTGGACTACATTCCACAGTTCTTCTCTATTTCTTGGTTTTGCCTCAAACTGCATTTTTGATGTCACCCCACCACCTGTTTTTCAAAGAATGAATGACCTCACTAATAGAACTCCACACTGCTATTATTTTGAACATGCCCCTTTCAATTAGTGATTCAATTACACAGAATCAGCCGCATGCATGTCATGACTGTTGGGTCTGTTGGATTTCTATTACTCTACTACACCTGCTAGTAATTATTTGCCATGTAGAAATATCATTTTTACCAAAAACAGTGATTGATCAGGTTAGTGATGTCTGACTGCTATTATTTTGAACACAACTGTGCGTGTGTGTGTGTGTGTGTGTATGTATATATATATATATATATATATATATATATACATATATATATACATATATATACATACAGTTGTATACCAGCCGCAACCTGAACCCGGCCCCTCTCCACTCGGCAGTTGACCGTCTGTACAACAGTATCCTTCCACTGTCATGCCCTGACCTAGCCACTACTGCGTACAACGACTCACTGTCAGCTGCCCTAGACTCTCTGGCACCCCTAACCCCACGTAACATCAGACCCCGACCGCTTCAACCCTGGCAAAATGACCATACAAAATGTCTCAAACGACGCAGTTGCGCGCTGGAGCGATTATGGCGCAACACCAGATCCCCTCGTGCGTTCTCCCTCTACAAATCCGCCTTCCTCACCTACACCTCCTCCCTCCACGCCGCCAAGCAAGCCTACTTCTCAACCCTCATTAACACCCTCTCCACCTGTCCTCGCCGTCTCTTCTCCACTTTCAACTCCCTGCTCTCTCTCCCCCCCCCACCTCCACTCAGTACCTCACTCACCGCCCATGAGATTGCCAATCATTTCCAAAACAAGATTGACGCAATCCGTAAGGACATTGTCATTTCACAATCTACCTCTCCACCTAGCCTCCCTTCTTCCATCACCCCCTCAACTCTCCCCTCCTCTGACCTCTCAACCGCACTGCCCCCCACCACAACTAATGTCCCGCGCACTATAACCTCCCCAACACTCCGCTCCCTCAGCCCTGCTACCACTGAGGAGGTCACTAAGGTCTTCACTGAAGTCTGCCTCACCACTTGCCCCTGGACCCTATCCCCTCACAACTCCTCCGGTCACCCCCCTCCTCCATCATTCGCTCCCTCACCCACATCTTCAATCTCTCCCTCTCTACTGGCGCATTCCCCTCCCCCCTAAAGCACGCGCACATCACCCCCATACTCAAAAAACCCTCCCTGGACCCCACTGATCTGAACAACCTTAGACCCATCTCCCTGCTGCCACTCACTTCCAAGCTCCTTAAGCGCTTAGTCTATAATCGCCTAAGCGCCCACCTGACAACACTGATCCACAACAACCTCCTTGATCCACTACAGTCTGGCTTCCGTCGCCTACACTCCACCGAAACCGCCCTACTTAAAATCACTAACGACCTGCTAACCGCCAAAGCTAATGGCCACTACTCGGTCCTCCTACTCCTCGACCTCTCCGCGGCCTTCGACACAGTCGACCACCCCCTCTCTCCACCTAACTAAACTACACTCCCTTGGCATCAGGGACTTTGCTGTCTCCTGGCTCTCCTCTTACCTATCCCTATCCCAACGCTCCTTCGGCGTTACCTATAACGCTGCCACCTCCCCCTCTCTCCCCCTCTCTGTTAGGGTCCCCCAAGGCTCTGTCCTCGGACCCCTTCTCTTCTCCATCTACACCTCCTCCCTTGGCAAACTGATACACTCCCACGGCTTCAACTACCACCTCTATGCCGATGACACACACAAATTTACCTCTCCACCCCCCACCTCACCCCCTCACTCTCCGCCCGCATCAGCCACCTCCTAAACGACATATCAGACTGGATGTTGCTCCATTTCCTCAAGTTAAACCTGTCCAAAACCAAGCTCATAGTTTTCCCTCCAGCCCGCGCCCCCCCCATCCTCTCCATCACGACTAACAATGCCACCATAAATCCCATCCCACACCCCAAAGTCCTAGATGTCACCCTGGACTCAAACCTTTCCTTCCAACCTCATGTCCAATCACTATCAAATTCATGCAGGCTCCACCTCCGCAACATCTCCAAGATACGTATGTTCCTCACCCCACACACTACTTAACAACTCGTACACTCCCTTATTATCTCACGCCTAGACTACTGCAACTCCCTTCTCACCGGCCTACCCCGACAAACGCTATCCCCGCTCCAGTCTATCCTGAACTCAGCGGCTAGACTCGTCCACCTCACCAACCGCTCCACTTCGGCCACCCCCCTCTGCCAATCCCTTTACTGGCTCCCAATTGCCCAACGCATTAAATTCAAATTACTAACTCTGACATACAAGGCCATTCAAAACGCTGCCCCAAACTACCTCACTGACCTGATACCCAAATACCACCCTACCCGTCCCCTTCGCTCCACACAAGACCTCCTACTCTCTAGCTCCCTGGTCTCCTCCTCCCACGCCCGACTGTAGGACTTCTCCAGGACTTCCCCCATCCTCTGGAACTCCCTACCCCAATCCATCAGACTGTCACCTACCCTCCTCACCTTCAGGCGCACCCTGAAAACCCATCTCTTCAGGGAAGCCTACCCCACCCTCACCTAACAGCCGTTCTCCACTCCTCCTACCACTCCATCCCCCACAGCCACTTCCTCCTGTACCTCTACCTCCTCCCTTCTAGATTGTAAGCTCGAAAGAGCAGGGCCCTCGAACCCCTTGTGTATTGTATTGTTACTGTATTGTCTCATGTACTGTCCCCCCACTTTAATGTACAGCGCTGAGCAAACCCTTTGGAGCTATATAAATACTGTATAATAATATATATAATATATATTTATACAGGGGCGGACTGACAACTCATGGGGCCCCCGGGCAATAAGGGATCATGGGGCCCCTGTGTCCTTGCCCAAAGTAAAAAAAAGCCTATGAAAAAGGTACCAGGGGCATCTCATGGGGCCCCCTACCGACCTCGGGCAGTGCCCGAGTTTCCAAATGGTCAGTCCGCCCCTGTGTGTATGTGTATGTGTGTATATATATATATATATATATATATATATATATATATATATATATATATATATATATGTGTGTGTATATATATATATATATATATACACACAGTTTTGTGAACTTGCAGAAGGTTCTAGCTAAAAGGGAAACACTAATGTATGGTAAGCAAATACATATTATGAACTATTATTATAAGATTAGATAAAAGTGACTGCTGTGACTATCAAACTAAAAACTATATGCTGCGCACTAGTAAACAGGAGGTGTCCATGACTATAACAAGGTAAATGGGCAAAAGATAAATGGATCTTTCACCCATTTACTTATTGTTATAGTCATGAACACCTCCCATTTACCAGTGCTCAGTATGTAGTTTTTAGTTTGACCATTTCCATCTCTCCAGTAGACTGTTAGCAGCATGGTAGTGTGGGGCCATATATTTCATATATATTACATAAGTATTAGCCCAAGTGACTTAGCGCTTTTGGTCCTGTTGTGGTCGAATTGATGCAACTATCACATTTTACAAGCTTGCTTTGCTGTATTTTTATAATTATTAGACCCCATACGCACTGAGTATTTAACCCCGGTGCATGAGACTATGTTGTT